CAGTCACTCCATAGGAGAAAAACGAGGCTATCTACTCCCACAAAGATGACAACCTTGAAAGCAGCAGGACAGCTCTGCTCTGCTCTGCAGGACTGCTGAGTCAGAACAGACTTGCCAGCAGTGGGCTTACATTTTGTTTTTTAAGTAGTTACAGTGAAACCATGAGACAAGTACATTTCAGAAACTAAATGTCCCAAACAAGTGCTGTGGTTTCAGTGGCAGTGTGAGGCCCAGTGTGACCCTCAGTCCACTGGCTTTCAGTCTCTACTTTTGTGAAAACACAAAGACTGACCTCTATTCTCCCTAAGAGGTCCTGCCCCTCTAACATCCAAGAATCTACCAACCCTTCTGCTCAAGCAAAAAGAACGGTCGGTCACCCTTACCACTACAAAAACCCCACCTGTTTGCAAACGTTTTCCTGACGAGTCAGAGTACATTTTGTCAGGTTTGTGGGCCCTACGGCCTCTTTAGCAACTACTCAACTTGGCCATCACAGCTCAAAAGCAGCCACCTACAATACATACACAAGAGAGTGTGGCTAGATTCCAATAAGTGGCCGGCCCACAGGTCAGCTTAAAGCAAAAGCAGACCTCTTGTATAACATAGTCCCCAAAGACAATGTTCTACACCCTACTTAAATGAGTAGCACCTGGGATCTTGAAAGCTAACGAGCAGCCACCTAAGGTGCAACTATTCGTCTCTCCCGCGTAGAGAAAAGAATAGTGAGGAAAACTGAAGTCAATTGAAAACAACCAGGTGAGTGGATTGACGCACCACGTGAACATCAGTCTCTACAACCTTGAGGCCAGAAAGGCTAGATGGTGCCTGGCTACCACTACCAACTGCTTTGAAAAGAATCACATTACCCTTGGTCACTCTTCAGATCTGGAACTCCATTTTCAGTCAAGCTACACTTAGATATATGGGGAGACAACAACACTAGTGAGGTATGAACACCATAAAATGACCAACCATTCAAGATCAAAGGGCAGCACTGACCTAAGGACAAAATTCAGAAGAGTGAGGAAAAGAGGAGGAATGGAACCAAGAAACCCAGGGAGGAAGTCAGATGTTATTATAATTATCCTCAAGTCGGTTCCAACCCATAGCATCCCTATTTACAATAAAACAAAACAGCACACAGTCTTGAGCCATTCACACGACTGCTGCTACGCTTGAAACCACTGTTGCTGCCACTATGCCAACCCATTTCATTGGGGGGTTGCCCTCTTTTTGCTGTCCCTCCACTTTACCAAGTGCATGTCCTGGTCCCTCCTGATAATATGTCCTAAGTATGACAGATGAAGTCTGGCCATCTTGGATTCTAAGGAGCGTTCTGTTGTACTTCTTCCAACACAGATTTGTTGGTCCTTCGGAGAGTCCATGGTACGTTTATTCTTCTCTACCATCATAACAACTCAAATGCATCAATTCTGCTACGGTCTTTTCCTTGTTCACTGTCATATGAAGCAAGTGAAACTACCATGGCTCGGGTCGGACATACTTTAGTCCTCAAACTGACGTCTTTGCCCTTGAACACGTTAAAGAGGTCTTGTGCAGCAGATGTGCCTAATGCAATACATTGCTTGATTTCTTGACTGCTGCTTCTATGAGTGTTGATGGTTGACTCAAGCAAAATGAAGTTTTGACGACTTCAATCCTTTCTCCATTTATCATGATGTTGTTTATTGGTCCAGTGGTGAGGATTTTTGTTTTCTTTACATTGAGATGCAATCCATTCCGAAGGCTGTGGTCTTTGATCTTCATCAGCAAGTATTTTAAGTCCTCTTCACTTTCAGTAAGCAAAGTTGTATCACCTGCATATCGCAGGTTGTTAACGAGTCTTTCTTCAATCCTGATGCCAAGTTCTTCATGTAATCCAGCGTCTCGGATTATTTGCTTAGCGTACAGACTGAATAAGTATGGTGAAAGAATACATCCTTGGCACACACCTCTCTTGATTTTAAATCATTCAGTGTCCTCTTGTTCTGTCTGAATAACTGCCTCTTGGTCTATGCTCAGGTTCTTCATGAGCACAATTAAGTGTTCCGGAATACTCATTCTCCACACCTTGTCATGATCCACAGTCGGAAGTCTTTGTATAGTCAATAAAGCACAAGTAAACATCTTACTGGTAGTCTCTGCTTTCAACCAAGATAATCTAATGTCCTCGTCTGAACCTGGCTTGAAGCTCTGGCAGTTCCCTGTCAATGTACTGTTACAGCCATTTTTTTAATGATCTTGAGCAATATTTGACTTGCATGTAATATTAATGATTCCCACATTCTGCTGGGCCACTTCTCTTTGGAATGGGCCAAATCTGGCTCCTTTCTAATCAGTTGACCAGGTAGCTGTCTTCCAAATTTCTTGGCATAGATGAGTGAGTGCCTCCAGTGCTGCATCAGTTTGCTGAAAGATTTCACTTTGTATTCCATCTGTTTCCAGAGCCTTGTTCTTTGCCAATGTCTTCAGTGCACCTTGGACTTCTTCCTTCAGTGCCACTGGCTCTTGATCATTGCTGCCTCTGGCATGGCTGAGCATCTATCATTTCTTTTTGGCACAGTGACTCTATTACCTTCATCTTCCTTTGAGGCTCTCTGCATCATTCAAAATTGCAAGTTGAGATTTTAATTTTTACTTCAGTTCTTTTAGTTTGAGAAATGCTGAGCATATCCTTCCCTTTTGGTTTTCTAACTCCAGATCTTTACACATTTCTTTGTAATATTTGGTATTATAATAACTGTCTTCTTGAACTGCCCTTTGACATTTTCTATTCAGCTCTTTTACCTCCTCATTTCTTCCATTTGCTGTAGCATCTCTATGCTGGAGGCGATTGCAATCTCGATGAAATGACGTGCATAGAATTTGTTGAATGCAAAACCGATGATCTGCTCTGTAAACAGTTCACAACAAATTATTTTTAAAGTGGGTCCCTCATACTGGGGTTACCCCAAGTTCAGCATGTACACTCTGGCACACACCCGCACGTGGCTTCAGTTTTCAGAGAACAAACTGGGGCCATTCGACATGTTATTCTTTCCTGCACATTCTTTGTTTCACTCAGTAATGCACTCGGGACACAGAGTCACCTCGTCCTTTTTAATTGAGCATGGTACAGCCTGGTATGAACTGTAACCACCCTTCAACGGACCTCTAAGAATCTCTCCGGTTTTCACTGTTTAAACTATTACTAAACTGTTATATACCACCTTACCTCAATTACAATGCCAATGATCAAAACAACGAAAACCACCAGGTGCTGCCGAGGCTGGAGAGAAATGGGAACTCTCTCTCACGAGAACTCAACACGGAGACTGGTGGTTCCTCACAGTCAGACAGAGAGTCCCGGACCTGACTGTACGCTCCAAAGAATGCAAACAGAATGCTACTCACCAGTGTTCACTGCTGTAGTTGTTGTTAAGTGCCGTCGAGTCGGTTACAACTCATAGTGACCATGTATAGGGTTCACTGTAGCACAGGCAAAACCTCAAATAATCTAAATGGCAGCCAACAGATGAGTGGAGACACAAAATGATGTTGTTGTTGTTGTTGTTAAGTGCCGCTGAGTCGATTCTAACCCATAACAACCCTGTATAGGGTTTCCACGGAGCAGATGGTGAGCTTGAACCATGGACCTTGCAGTTCAAACAACTTTGCAGTCTGACGCATTAGTCCACAGCGCCACACCAGGACTCAAAATGATACGTACGTCTAACTGCTTTTGTTATTAAGTGCCACTGGGTCAGTTCCAACTCATAGCGACTTTGCCAAACCAACTTTGCAGTCCAGTACCTACGGTACAGCATCACACCACAACTCCTTACATACAACAAAGCAGAAAAAAGATCCAAGCTGTCAAGAACCTCACTTTGTTTGGATCCATCCACATCACTTCTCATTGAAGCAGCAGTCAAGAAATCTGCAGTAAAAGAACCTCCTTGAAAAGTGTTAAAGCGCAATGAAGTCAGTTTGAGGACTAAGGAGCACCTGGCCCAAGCCATGGGGTTTTCAGTGGCTTCGTATGCAGGTGAATGCTGGACAATGAACAGGAGACTAGAGAAGAATCAGCGCATGTAAATTACGGTGCTGGAGAAGAGATCAAAAGTGTCAGAAGAAAAAACAAATCAGTCTTGGAAGAAGTAGAATTGGAACTCTCCTTAGAGGTGTGATGATGAGCCTGTGTCTCTTGTACTTTGGACAAGTAGTCAAGAAGGGACTCATGCCTAGAGAACGACATCATACTTAGTAAAGTGAAGGGTTAGCAACAAAGGAAGACCTCCCCCACCTTCCCCAACAAGATGGACTGACAGTGACCGCAACAATGGGCTTGCACAAATGGCGCAGGATCAGGCAGCTTGTTCTATTCTGCATCGGGTACCTATGAGTCGGAATGAACTAAAAGGCACCTATCAACAACGTACAATAGAACATTCTTACTCAGTGATAAAGAGAAAGTCCTGAGGTAGGTCATGGCACAGAGGAAACGTGAAAACATGCTGAGCGAGATGCGTCAGTAGCAAAAGGGCCAGACTGTACGAGTGCACTTACATAAAATAAATATGTAGAAACCAAGGATTCTAAGTGGCTACCAGGGTGGGAGGGAGGGGAAAGGAGTGTTTCTTATGGGGCACTGAAATGATGTTAATGGTGATGGAATGATTCAGACATAAATAGCAAGAATGGCTGAATGACTTGAAAAATGAAATCCATGTTACTGAATTATACAAGTAGAAATGGTTGGGACGGCATGTCTTGTTATGTATTATTTTCACCACAATAAAATTTCCAAATATATACATTATTCCAGGAAAATACACTTATCTTGATCCTACAGTTTTAGGGAGAGATCAGCTGAGGCACACATCTGATCCTACAGCAAGTCTACCCAACCATAATAAAGGACATACAGGAAACTGAACTTGGGGGAGATCAGGACACAAGGAATGAGGAAAGGCAACAAGTGGATGGGATCACGGGGGACGAGGAAGAGCCATAAGTACCTTTTTCAAAAAGGTTGCAGCTGTTTCTCTCTTTGTTGCTGTAATCCGCTTCACCCCTTCTGGGGACTGGACACGGATTATCTGTTATAAATGAAACAAAGAATAGTAAGGTCCCAATCTGGTGTCAGCACCTAGGTCAGTGAAACAGAAAGCTACGCCTGCCTCTCCCATCACTCCAAGAAGCAAAAGGAGCAAGTCATCAGCATCCAGGAGGAGAACACAAGATACCCTGAGTACTGCCCCATTCCCAAATCTGCTTTCCTCAGGAAAATACAACTTCAATCTTGGCCCACCATAAAAAATCGATCTTTCTCTTCAGACTTTGAAATGTATAAAAATAAACACCATCAGTCATGAATGACTGGCTTCTTTAAAAAACAATTTCACTTTGTTCCAAGATCTAAACACAGACACTAGACTGACTTAAGAGAAACAAAATCTGTCTCATAATTTATTTTAAATAAAAAGATTGAAAAAAATTAAGGCTTTTTTTTAATATCATAGTAAAAGCTACTAGAGTTGTAAAAGTATTTTCATGGCAATGAAATGGGAGGAGGCCTGAAAGAGCAGGGGACAGGGAGCGTCACATTCCAGGACTTGAAGCTTGTTTGCTGACTGTACAAGTTCCTGCTCTGAAGGCAGGGAGTGTGAAAAGGGCCCGCCCGCTGCAAACAGCCGGGCAGAGGCAGCTTCCACCACCAGAGGGACAGCAGGGGTGGCACACCGGAAGCAGTCTCTTAGCAGCCACTGCACTGGACACTGCATTTAAACCAATTCGACAGCAGAAGAAAAATGGCACAAGTCACATCAAGAAAAAGTGTCACTGACATGACACAACCTCACAAAGGTTTATGGTCTGAACTTTCTCAGTTTTTTAATCAAGCTGATTAATAATGTAGATTTTCCTATCTTTCTGGTTTTATTTTTACTTGACTGAAAAAACTCGATCCTCGTATTGTTCTCAACTTTTCAGGTTCGTTTATGAAAACTCCCAATGACTACCCCAAGGGTTAAGAGCACGGAACATTTCTTATTTCATTTTCTCACTCAAATTTTGTTTTCTAAACGTTTGATTCTGGGGTTCTCCACTGTCTGGACTCAGTACCTCAGAAACCATATTTTCAGAATGCACAGCACAGGCATTAGGTAAATACTCCCACTTGCTTCTGAAATATATCTCTGCCAACCAGGCAGTCAGAACACGATTCTTTCTCTTCCTAGTGCAGGCAGGAACAAGAGCGTGTCTTCAACTCTTCAAGGAGCTAAAGGTCAGGCTCAAATGTTCCTGAAAAGTCTGACAAACTTAGAAGTCATTTTACATGCAATAGTCCAGCATTTAACAAGTGACAAAATATAATCTGTGCTGAGGGATGTTGGCCTCCAAGTACAAAACTGAATCCCTGAGGACACGCAGATCTGGGAATAAGGATGCACACCACCTCGTATAAAGGTTTCCCTGGTACAAAGAAAGGAAAGTAGCCCAGAATTCTTCTTGGGGTTATTGAAGCATTTGTTGTGTTCTGTGCTGTGGAGTCGGTTCTGACCCATAGCGACCCTGTACTGGGTTTCCGAGGCTGGAAATCTTTATGGGAGCAGAACGCCTCCTCTTTCTCCCGCGGAACAGCTGGGAGTTTCCAACTGCTGACCTGGAGGTTAACAGCCCGCTTGGTAAGCACTGCGCTCCCAGAGCTCCTTACTGAAGCACTGGGGAGTTGGAAATCAGTGCTACCCACTCAAGTTTTGAGAAGAAAGTCTAGTGAAATCCATTTCAAACGAAAGACCTGTTTTCATCCTTCACACATCCAGTAAATGGGACAAGGGACTCGACGACCGCCACCCCCACCCCCCGTGGCAAAGCCCACCCTAATAGACATTTGGGGGACTCCTGGAAGCAGATTCTACTTCGAGAGGAAGAACATCTTGCTTTTCAATGGTGGCGACTTCCCAGGCTTTCTTAGGCCCTGGAGAGCCGAGTAAGCACCGTGGACTCGCGGGCACAGCCTGCAGCTCCGGGGAGACACACGTCCCACCATCTGGACACCTGGCCAAGCGGCTGTCACTGCGCTCAACCTGAACACCACCTGCCCCAGGGCGGCCTCACTTCCCGCCTGTCGCCTGTCGCCTGTCCCCGGGCCTTTGGCTCCAAGGGTCCTGCCTCGATGGTAAACTTTCCGTAAGTGAAACAAAGACCAGGTTTCCCCCTGCGATTCGCACTGACTTTCTTACTTGAAGGGGAAACGGGAGGCGGCCACTTCCTAATCTCAGGGAAAAACTAAGATCGACTTCCTTTATGGTAATCCTTTTAAACAGGTCTCCCGTCGGAGGAGACGGCTCTCCCGGGACTCATGACGAGGCACTTACTGAGGGAGCGAGAGGGGCCGAGGACAGGGAAACGGGTGGGGATGAGGGGCTGGTCTCTTCAGAGCACCTCGACCTCCCTCCTGGAAGGGCCGGCCCTTCCCAGCCCCGCGCAGAAACCAGAGCCGCAAATCATCCAGTTGGGGTCAGGGATGGCATGAAGTCGAGGGAGATAAAAGTCGAGGAAGGGAGTCCGGTAACCCCGGAGAAAGACAAGAAGAAGAGGAAGGGGCCGTTTCGCGGACCGCCTCTCCACAGGCCGAGGCCGGTAAATCTGCTGCCTCATCCCGGCGCCCCGCTCCCGCCCGGCCGCCGCAACTCACGATGCTCTCGGCCATGGCAGCTGCTCCTCCCTCCGGGCTCGAACCCTGGGCCGCCGCCGCCTGCCGCCCCAAGGGCCTCACAGCCCCTGCCCCGGCCTCAGCCCCGGCCCCGGCCTCCCTCCGCCACCGCCACCGCCGCTCCAGCTTCGCCCGCCCGGCCTCCACCAGCGCCGACGTCCGGGCGCCACACTCAACGCGCTCCCCCGGGCTCACAGTCCAGCAAAGGAGGTTCCGGCCCACCAACGGCTGGCACATGCGCAGCGCGGTCCCGGGCCCGCGGGTGGAGCGAGACTACAATGCCCCACCCCCCTCCCTGCCTGGCCACGCCCCTCCCGGAGCAAACTAGCCTCAGGAAGCTCAGCATGCAATGGGGAACGTTTTCGGAAGATGACTTTATGCCCATTGTTAAAGATTCTAGCAATGCAAAACGAAGTTCAACGGAGAAACACAAATAAGCATCCGAAATCTTACCCAGAAATAACCATTGGGGGGATTGTTGTTAAGTGCTGTCGGGTCGGTTGTGACCCATAGCGACTCTGTATGGAGGCTGGTGAGTTTGAACTGCCGACCTTGAGGATAGCAATCCAATGCTTCTCCTACAGCGCCACACTAGAACTCGTTTAACACCGGAACTCGTTTAGCTGATAGTAGCTGATTTTGCCTCTAATAACTCACACACCCATGTTCATATTTACCCTAAATTTGACCTAAGAAGAAGAAATGAGGTTGGAATATTTTAGAATATAACTACAATAAGAATCCGCTTCATAGGTCCCTAACCTGGGTTGCTCAAAAGAGTCTGGTTCCACGCCCTGCTGTCTCCATCTTTAAATTTTCAATGGTTTTGAACAAGCGTGCTTGCCCCACATTTTCATTTGGTACCTGTTGTGAAGTGCCTTTGAGCCGGCTCAACTCATAGTGACCCTACATAAGGTTTCTGAGGAGCTGCTAGTGGGTTTGAACCCTTGACCTTGCAGTGAGCAATCCAATACCTACCCTACAGTGCCGCACGAAGATTTGATTCGCACCTAGTCGGAGATTTTGTCTATAATGGTATAAGGTCTGAAAGTTTGCATACCAATGTTCATTGCAGTATACAACCGTCAAAAGATGGGGGGGAAAAGTGTGTTTTAACAGGTGGATGGAGAAGTAAACTGTTATCTCTTCATAGCACAGTGGGATACTACTCAGTCATACAGATAAATGAAGTCACATACAAACTGCTACTGTGACTGAACCTTGAAAACAATGTACCAAGTTGAACCGGTTCCCTTTTTCGGAAGTATCTAGAATAGGAACCTGTTAGAGACCAGAGTTTATTAGTGGCTACCAAGGGGGAGTTTCCGTTTAGGGAGCACTGTTTCTGTTAGTGGTTGGTGATTATGTGTCACCGAGTCAGTTCCTACTCATAAGGACCCTGTACAGGGTTTCCAAGGCTGTAAATCTTTACAAGAGCAGAAAGTCTCATCTTTCTCCCGCAGAGCAGCTGATAGATTCGAACTGCTGGTTTTGCTGTTAGCAACACAACCCACCATGCTGCTAGAGGCAAAGATCTGTTTTAACCCCATGGTTTCTATTCAGATTGTCTTTGCTTATCCCCCTTGCTGAAAATCAAGGAAATTACTACTAAGCCTGCCTTCCCTTCCCTCACTCATATGCATTTCTGTGACAATGCTCCTGATATGTTCACTTCTAGGACTTCAAATGCTGGCGGGAGAGCAGAAAGACCCCTGACCCGGTGGGATTTTCCAGTGGGAGAAGATGAGGAGGAGATCAGCATATAAATGTGTCAGGTCAGGAAGATCACCAAAACAAGGAACAGGATGGAATGTTAGAGGCTATTTCAAATAAGCTGGTCAAAAAAGATCTCTAAGAGGTGAAGTTTGTAGTTCCAGATAAAGAGATCTTTGCAGATAGGATGGGAGACAGCACATTCCCAGGAACAATGAAGGGACCAGTGTGAAGGAATGAGGGAGGGAGGGGAAGCTGGATCATGAGGAACCACATGGACAAAAAAACGTTTGTACTGAATTTCAAGCATGAAGAGCCTTTGGAGGGTCGAGAACAGAGGAGAAACGTGCTCTGTTATATTTTAGAAGGATCCTTCCGGAGGTTCAATTAAGAACAGACAGTGGAGGGGAAGGTGCAGGTGGAGAATCAGAGAGACCCCTGAGGCAGCTAATGTAAAGGTCTGGAGGACAGAAGAAGGTGGCAACAAAAGTCAAGAGGTGGCTGGTTCCAGAACAAATGATGGGAAAGACAAGATAGGATTGGCTGATGGATGAGGTGCATCAGAGAGAAACATGGGATGCAGCCAAGGGATTTGAGACACAAGGTGGAGATAGAACCAGCCAATAAGAAGCTTCCAGGAGGCCAATTGTGGAGGTCTTAACAATGAGGGGGGGGGTTTCAAAATGAGGTACATGTTTTAAGCAATGATTTGTCCCAACCCAAGGAGCTCTGGTAGCGTAGTAGTTACGAATCAGACTGCGAACCGCAAGGTCAGCAGTTTGAAACCACCAGCTGTTCCAAGGGAGAAAGATGAGGCGTTCTGCTCCCATAAAGATTTACAGCCTTGGAAACCCTGTACAGGGTCACTATGAGTCGGAACTGATTCCACGGCACACAGCCACCAGCCACCAACCCTGTCTCATGTCGTAGCACAGAGAATGTTTTTGACCTCACACTTTGAATAAAGCCTGTCTCAACTGCAAGGATACTATAGGTTACCATAGCGAGTAAAGTGTTACTAAAGGTAATACAGAAACGGCTACAAGCATACATTGACAGAGAACTTGCAGAGGTTCAAGCCAGATTCAGAAAAGGATGTGGAACAATGGATATCAATGCTGATACCCGATGGATCTTGGCTGAAAGCAGAGAATACCAGAAAGATGTTTACCTGTGCTTTATTGACTACACAAAGGCTTTTGATTGTGTGGATCATGACAAGCTATGGACAACATCGCGAAGTATGAGTATTCCTGAACACTTAATTGTGCTCATGAGGAATCTGTACCTGGACCAAGAGGCAGTTGTTCGAACAGAATATGGGAACACTGAATGGTTTAAAATTAAGAAAGGTGTGCAACAGGGTTGTATTCTTACACCATACTTATTCAACCTGTATGCTGAGCAAATCATCTGAGAACCTGGGTTATAAGAAGAAAAATGTGGCATCAGGTCTGGAGGAAGACTCATTAACAACCTGTGATATGCAGATGATACAACCTTGCTTGCTGAAAGTGAAGAAGACTTAAAACATTTACGGATGAAGATCAAAGACCACAGCCTTTAGTATGGATTCCATCAAAATGTTAAGAAAACAAAAATCCTCACCACTGGACCAATAAGCAACATTCTTATCAACGGAGAAAAGATTGAAGTTGTCTAAGATTTCGTTCTTCTTGGATCAACTGTTGGAAGCAGCAGTCAAGAAATCAGGCAATGTGCTTTAGTCCTTTGTAATTTGTGGTAATTGTGCTTTTCTTTTTAATACAAAAAAATGTATAAAAATAAAAACTTGAAAAGGCAAAAAAAAAAAAAAGAAATCAGGCAATGTATTGCATTAGGCAAATCTGCTGCACAAGACCTTTTTAAAGTGTTGAAAAGCAAAGATGTCAGCTTGAGGACTAAGGTGTGCCTAACCTAAGCCATGGTATTTTTTATAACCTCATATGCATGTGAAAGCTGGACAGTGACTAAGAAAGACCATAGAAGAATTGATGCATTTGAGTTATGGTATTGGAGGAGAATATTAAAAGTGCCATGGGCTGCCAAAAGAACCAACAGATCTGTATTGGAAGAAGTGCAGCCAGAGTGCTTCTTGGAGGCCAGGATGGCCAAACCTCATCTCTCATATTTCAGACACATTGTCAGGAGGGACCAGTTGCTGGAGAAGGGTATCATGTTTGGTAGGGTGGAGGGTCAGAGAAAAAAGAGGAAGACGCCCAGCGAGATGGATTGGCAAAGTGGCAGCATCAGTGGGCTCAAACGTGGCCACAATGGTGAGGTTGGCCCAGGACCGGTCAGTGTTTCCTTCTGTTTTACATAGGGTGGCTGTGAGTCAGTAGTGACTTGATGACGTCTAACAACAACAACAAATATTCTTACCTGCACCGTGTAGACTTAGTCGTGGTCTTTTACTACTACTCCTTCTGTTAAGGTCATTTCCTGCTTTCTCCTCTGAGGTCAAGGTGCTAGATGTAGGGGGAGGTCCTCCTGGTTCCTGCAGCTTCTGGTGGTGTTGCTTAGACGCTGCAGTCAATTGGTATCTCCCTGTATCAGAGCAGAACCGCCCCGTAGGGTTTTCTAGACTGTGATCTTTACAGAGAGCACAGGCCTGTCTCCCGAGGAGCCATTGGGTGTGTTTGAACTGCTAACCTTTCCGTCTGCAACTGAAGCCTTAACCATCACGTCACAAGGACTCTTTGTAGCTGCCAGCAATCCTTGGCTTGTAGCTGCATCTGTCTCCGTGGTGAGATGGTACCTGTCCTGCGGGTGTATGTTTGATGCTGTTTTCATAACTCAGAGGTGATTAACAGTAGGATCTACTCTCCACCATAGGGCCTCATTAACATAAAAGGAGAAAACCCCTATTTCCAAACAGGGTCTTATTTGGGGGGAGAGGTCATAATTCAATCCATAACACCCCCAGAGCAAAGCTGAGTTCACAGCTGGGCCCTGCAATGGCGTCAGTGAGGCAGCTCCCCAAGCACCCCTGAATTGGGATGGCGCAGATCCTTGGCACCCTTAGCGCCCAGGCGAGGAGTCCAGTGGAGAAGGGAGCCCACTCTCCTCTCCATAGGCAAGTCAGCTCTAAACCCTGGCGTGTGACTCGTCACATGATTCCTCTGGGACCGCAGAGTCTGGTGTCTAGAGAAGACTCCATTATTGCTGGAGAGGTTCTGGGACCGACCGGCCTCTCTCTCCAACTCAAGGCTCCCCTTCTGCCAGAGGATGGAGGTGGAGGAAAGGAGCCCCTTGCTTGTCCAGGTGAGCTGCGACCTGTCTCCTCACTGGCCCCAAAGACCCCGCAGGAGGCCCTGGTTCCTACCCGCCCCCCACCCCCCACAGACCTTCCTGCCTGTCCTCTGGTGGGACATCCTTGGAGGAGATGCCACAATTGTGGTGGGGTTCACGAGGCAGGAAAGTGCTCAGGTCATCAGACCTCTCGCAGCTGACACTGGTCCCCTGTGACACCCCCTTGCCCTTTTTGCTCCCCTTCCCCACCCCCACACCACTCAGCCTAGCTCAGGCCCCTGGGCAATGACTCTGGGAGGTACCCCTCTGGCTTAGGGGGTGACAGTGATCTTTTCCCCAGCACTCATCACTTTTGCAGCAGCCATTTAAGCAGGCTGGCCCCCTGAGCTGACCTCAGTGCCCTGGGCTGACCTGGGCTCCTGCTCATTGGTGGATTCTGGGGCTCTCCTCTGCCTGAGATCAGAGGGACAGACCAGCCTCAGTGCAAGCCTCAGTTCTGCCAGAGCTTTCAAATTCTGCCCAAGTCAGACAGGTCACTGGTACAACTGGACACTGGGAGTGTGGCTGAGGGTCAGAGACAGGATCTCCTCCCTCCCTGAACAGAGGGTCTCCTCCCACACTTGTGGGGAGAGTGGGAAATAGGGGGCTTTAGGGGGCTGAAGATTCCATTGAGGGGTCCAGTGAAGCAGGCGCTCAGTTCTCCAAGCCTCAGGGGTCACTGAAGATAGGTCTCCATGGAGGAGAGGAGAGGTGTGGCCAGTTCCACCAGAGCCTCCTCTGTGCCCTGGGCACCCCATGGCAGGCCCTGGCCTGTTCCTTCCGGGACCTCTCTCCTCGTATCTGGTGTATGCAGCACCCTTGGCATCCCTGGTGTCCCCTGTACGCCTGTGTCCACTCTGCTCGCCTTACTAGACACCAGGACCCAACCTTCTTCATATGGCTTCTGCACCCTAACAAACCACGGCCATCCAGCAAACCTCGACTCATAGCGCCCCGTCTTCACGGGAGCAAAAGCTTCATCTTTCCCCCAGGCTGCTGGGTTTGAACTACCAACCTTGAGGAGAACATTTCGGTGCTTCCTATAGCACACCAGGGCTCTTTCACAAACAGGACTGCCACACAGGGAAAGAGTCACTTTTTGGGAAGCATGACTCCATCTGTGGTCAACCTGGGGGCATTCTGCTGAGCCCCCTGTTCTTCCTTCCTTGGCAGAATGCGGTGGGGCTGGTGCCACCCCCCTCCTCGAGCAGCCCACACACTTACAGCCAACAGTACCCATTGTCCCAGGAGAAACACATGGCCAAGGGCCGGTCCAGGGGCGGCCGCCTTCGGGGGCCTCTAGCCTCATCCCTCTCTGCTGGGAACGCCTGCAGCAAGTATCTGATCTTTCTGACCAACTTCCTCTTCTCCCTGCTGGGCCTGCTGGGCCTGGCGGTCAGCCTCTGGGGTCTGGTCCTCAAGGGGCCTGTCGGGAGTGGTTGGGGGTGCAACCTGCCTACACACCCCATGCTGGGGCTGGCTCTGGGGGGGCTAGTGGTCAGCACTGTGAGCCTGGTCGGCTGCCTGGGTGCCCTGTGTGAGACCACCTGCCTGCTACGCTGCTTCTCTGCCAGTCTGCTCACCTGTCTGGTGCTGGAAGCTGTGGGCAGTGCCCTGGTGGTGGCCCTCTGGGGCTCGCTGCAGGACAGCCTGGACCACGCCCTGCAGGTAGCCATCATCCGCTACCAGAAGGACCAGGACCTGTGCTTCTACCTGGACCAAGTGCAGCTCAGGTTGAGGTGCTGCGGGGCTGTTTCCTATCAGGACTGGCAACGGAACCCGTGAGTCGAGGGTCAAGGGGAGGACCGGCCACACACACTCACAAGTGCATACACTTGTGTGCTCACACTCATTGCATACACTCATGTATGTTCATATGTGCACAAACACACATGTACACACATCCACTGACTCACAGCACACTGAGGCAAATACACATCCACCCACGAAACTCACATAATCACGTACATGCACACACACATAGACATACACAGTCTCAGGTGTACACACAACCACCCATGATACTCCCACACCCACACGAGCTCGCACAATCACACACATGTACACACACAGTGCTCTCTCTTTCAGGTGTGCACACATCCCACCTCTAATCTACACACCCACACATGCACACACACCCCTCATTTATCACACATGCTCGTGTGCTGATACACACACATGAACATGTGTGCAGTCCTCACTTTCACGTGTGCTCATGCCCAGGTGCGCTCACACACACACTGACGGACAGACTCACTGGCCCGTCTCCACCGCAGACCACTCATTCCTGATCCCACTCTGCTGCTGCAAACCCTGTCAGAACTCCTGCTGATTGAGGGGTCTTACCCCTCCTCATGCTGTCTCTCCAAACAGTCCCCTTCCCGCCAAGACCATGCCTATCTTCTGCCTGACTGTGCAGAGAGCTGTCATGTGAGAGGAGGCATTACAGAAAGCAGGGTACGGCTCTGTGTGCATGTTCACGTGCAACAGTGCTCAGCAAACATGCATGTGAGCACGTGTGCAGTGCACATGTGTGCCTGTGGGGGGGGCGATTGAAAGTCTGTAGGAGACTCCCACACAGCGCTCAGCCCCAGGACAATGCTCCACGCCTCCAGGCCTGATGGCTGTCCACCTACATTGCAGGTACTTCAACTGCAGCGCCCCAGGGGTCCAGGCCTGCAGTCTCCCCGCCTCCTGTTGCATTGACCCGCCGGAAGATGGCGCCTCCGTCGACATACAGTGTGGCTCCGGGGCCCTGCACCTGGACGAGGCTGCAGCCGGAAGAGTGGTGCACTTGGAAGGCTGCGGGCCACGCCTGCGGTGGTGGCTGCACCACAGCGCCCCGGCCCTGGGTGGCGGGGCTATAGTGCTTGCGGTGGTTCAGATCACAGAGTTCCTGCTAGCTGCACAGCTGCTCAGTGCTCTGGCCGTACACAAGGGGGCAGCAGAGAGCATGCGGCGAGTGCCAGGCCCGCCTCCACAGGCGATTTCTGGTCCCCAGAGCCGGGGCTGGGAGCGTGAGCTACTGGGTCAGGAGGAGGTCTGAGCTACAGGCCTCTTCTCCTGTCCAGGGAAGGCATCAAGTATGTGATCCTGGGTGCTGTGAGCATGCACCTGGGCACTCCCACCTAAGTGCGTGCACCCCTTCCCAGGACCTGTCTCAGACCTGGCCACCGCCAATGCCTGGCTCTCACCCTTTGGATAAGCTTTGATGACTCTGAAGCCACTTTAGCTTCGGCAACATTTGTACTGCCCTTCCCGTCCACTACAAACGCCGCTGTGGGCACATAGGCTGCAGACCCTGACCCCGACCGACCTCTGAGATGTGCTGCCCAGCCCAAGTCTGCCTCCCTTCAGGGGAGCAGGCAGAGTGTGAGAAAGGGGGAAGCCGGGGCTCCACCCCAGCCCACACCCCGAGTCTTCACCTTCAGACCCTTCCCTAGGCTCCATTCTCCAGGACCCATCCCCACCAATAAAATAGAGCAGCAATCCCTCCCTGGAAG